AAGAGGTTTACATTTCCCTTCTTCTGGGGTATCCCAGAACTGTATAACTTGGAGGGTCACCATAAGTCAAAACCTGCTTCCATGTAATTGTGACAAAACTGAGGGAATTTGAAGGCTAAATGTGCCCTAGTTTAATTTGGAATCTTGTCCTTAGGGCTTATAGTAGGCCATCCTTCTGTGGGATGTTGGGGTCGTGTGCTTCTGTGAGCAGCTTGGTTGTTTTCGGGAACATTTCAAATGGCTTGTACTGTTTTTTTAATGGTTTGTAGTTTTGTCAGGAAATCAGCCCTGTTCTCTTATATAGGTGAAGCGTGGGTGATAAGAGAGCTCATATACCCGATACTTCCAACAATACTGACACCTATACCTGAGATAAAGACCAAAAGGGCATTAGTTGTTTGCGGTTGAGGGTTAAGTTCTGGTTCGACAGTTCTGTATGATGTCTGTATGAATTTTATTAGATTTGTGTCTAGAAAATTACAGCACGAGGTTGTGCAATTTTTTTCTGATAGGATCTGTGGATACTATCTGGAAAAACGTGGTATAGAATAATTGGCTCTCAGCCACACGGTTCACATACTTTCTTTCTTTCTTTCTTTCTTTCTTTCTTTCTTTCTTTCTTTCTTTCTTTCTTTCTTTCTTTCTTTCTTTCTTTCTTTCTTTCTTTCTTTCTTTCTTTCTTTCTTTCTTCCTTCCTTTCTTTCTTTCTTTCTTTCTTTCTTTCTGAGGCTGTAAGTGCTATCAAAACTGTGTTAACAATTAACAAGTGGGTTAACCATTGACAACACGGCAGCTTAAAAGCTGTGCCTCTTTGTTTAAAAATGTTGATTATGAGTTAATTACCTTACCTATTACCTATTGTCTGGATGTTTATGCTACCGCCTGCTTCTTGGGAGAAAAGTGATGACAAACCTCCGCAGCATCTTAAAAAGCAGAGACATCACCTTGCCGACAAAAGTCCGCATAGTCAAAGCCATGGTTTTTCCAGTAACGATGTATGGAAGTGAGCACTGGACCAAAAAGAAGGCTGACCACTGAAGAATGGATCCTTTTGAATTGTGGTGCTGGAGGAGGCTCTTGAGAGTCCCCTGGAGTGCAAGGAGAACAAACCTATCCATTATGAAGGAAATCAACCCTGAGTGCTCACTGGAAGGACAGATCCTGAAGCTGAGGCTCTAATCTTTTAGCTATCTCATGAGAGGAGAAGACTCCTTGGAACAGACCCTGATGTTAGGGCAAGAGGAGGGCAAGAGGAGAAGGGGAGGACAGAGGATGAGATGGCTGGACAGTGTCATCGAAGCTACCAACGTGACTTTGACCCAACTCTGGGTGGCAGTGGAAGACGGGAGGGCCTGACGTGTTCTGGTCCATGGGGTCACAAAGAGTCAGACACGACTAAGCATTTAAACAACAACAACAACAAGAGTTAATAGTACTAATCATACCTTACCATGTAATGTCTATTATCCTGTTCAGCAGCACCACTGTGGGTCCAGCAGCTGTGCAGCTTAGAAGGAACGTTGTGAGGGAGATGGACCAAAGGATGTCTCTCCAAATGAGCTGGCTGGAGCAGGCAGGTCTGGCCATGTACAACACAGCTCTGAGACAAGAGACTAGCCTGATTCAAGCTGGAGAAGAGTCTGGTTGGCTCACCTATTCCTGTTCCTACATATTATTCCCTTGAACCTTGTGACGCAGTGGTTAAACTGCTGGACTGGAGCCAAAACTGTGCTCACGACCTGGGATGCAATCCCAGGTAGCTGGCTCAATGCTGACTCAGCCTTCTATCCTTCCAACGTCAGTAAAATGAGTATCCAGGGCAATGTGTAGCCTGCATAATTAACTTGTAAACTGCCCAGAGAGTACTTGAAGCAACTGTTATTTAGTCGTTAAGTCATGCCCGACTCTTCATGACTCCATGGACCAGAGATGCCAGGCCCTCCTGTCTTCCACTGCCTCCCGGAGTTGGGTCAGATTAGTGTTCGTAGCTTCAATGACCCTGTCCAACCATCTCGTCCTCTCTCTTTCCCTACTCCTCTTGCCTTCATGCTTTCCCAAGAGAAGAGAGTCTTCTCTTCTCATGAGATGGCCAAAGTCTTGGAGCCTCCGCTTCAGGATCTGTCCTTCCAGTGAGCACTAAGGGTTGATTTCCTTCAGAATGACCACAAATTGGTTTGTTTCGGTTCAGAAGTTTGAGAAAACTATAATGACTCCTCCATCCACCTGTTGTTTAGTCATGTCCGACTCTTCGTGACCTCATGGACCAGAGCANNNTGGCCGACTCTTGGTGACCCCATGAACCAGAGCACGCCAGGCCTGCCTATCTTCCACTGCCTCCCGGAGTTGCGTCAAATTCATGTTGGTTGCTTCGCAGACACTGTCCAGCCCTTCTCCTCTTGCCTTCACACTTTCCCAACATCAGGGTCTTTTCAAGGGAGTCTTTTCTTCTCATGAGATGGCCAAAGTATTGGAGCCTCAGCTTCAGGATCATGGGGCAGCATACAAGAAGCACACTTTTTTCCCTTTACTAATGTAGGCTGCTCAGGTTAAGGGATTAAATAGTTAATAAAACTGTGGTCCAAGCTTGAATCAAGCTTGTATCTTGCCTCTTTATTTACTGGAAGGGAGGGCAATCCCAACAGGTTCAGGTAATCTGCTCAAGGCTGACTCCTGCCATCCTTCTGGAGTTGGTAAAATGAGTACCCAGCTCACTGGGGGGGGGGGCAAAATGTTCCTTGAATAATGATGTGGT